TCATTAAGACGCATCAAATGGTGGTAATTTTATATTTCTAGGGTTAATGGATAAAAAGATATTTCAATTTAAAAAATTTAGCTACTATTTGTTATAATTTATCGATCATTTTACTTTCGATTTTTACTTAGAAAATATTATAGAATTTATAACAAAAATATAAGTTTATATAATAAAATATTTTAAGATATTTAAAAGTATCTTTAATTAAAAAACGAAATTGCAGGCAAATTTGGCTGCAAAACAGTTTAAGGGCTATAGTAAATACTACATTTTTACCCATTTTACTATTGTTAGTTTTAAATTCACCCACGTCACGACGTCACGTTGTTTAAAAATAAATACCGCATTTTACCATTATTTTCATGGTTTTATTAGACATATTTAGGAATCACAATAACTACCATTATAGCTGGAAGAACAATCATTCCTTTAACAATAAAGAAATAACTTTTTTTTCTGAAGAATGAGAACATTCTTTTTCATTATCTCAATACTTTATATACATTAATACAAATTATTCCAGTTTTTTTTTTCCAGTTTTTTTTAAAAAAAAAAAGAGAGAGAGAGAAAAGAATATTTTTCCTATTTGAACCGATCTTAAAAAAGCGAATCAGTTTTATTTAATTGTCACCTGCATTAGTTTGTATAATCACCAAAAAAAAAAAAAAATTTCAAATTCCAAATTAAGGAAGATTTATTTTTTTTTAAAAAAAAATGACCCTATAAAAAAATTCTGGAAAAAATTCAAAAATTCCATTTTCCATTTTTCTAATTTTTCTGAAAAATTTTTTATAGGGTAAAATCATTCGATAAAAAAAAAATTTAGTATTTAATTTACCAAAGTTAACCGAACATAACCGAACTTGAGAATTATAAATAAATAAAACGTCTTACGCACTTCTCAGGACATGTGAGATTTTAAATTAAAGTTTAAAAGAGATTTTTAATCTGACGAATAAAGATATAATAAAAACTTTAAAGCGATATTATGCTTCTAGGTTATTTGCGTGGGTTTTATAAAGAATAAAAAAAAAGAAAGTGAAAAAAATTATTTTTTTTTTCGCCCATGCACAAAGCATGAATAAATTAATAATTTTTAAATTTATTTTGTTTCCCTATATATATTCATTATTTTTTAATTTAACCCAATACGAAATCCAAGACACGAGGTATAACAAAGTATAACCAACATTTTTAATAATACAGTGCCGGACCTACCGACAGAATGAAAAAAAAAGTATTTTTTTTTTTGAATAAACTATTAACTGTGAACTATAAGATTTATGAAACTGCGAAAGTATGGATTTTCAGTAGTTTAAAATTTTCTATTGAAATTTACCACTTACTTGAATATTTTTTTTTGACAAGTAATTTGTGAGATGGTCCATGCTTTTTTTTCCTGCGAAATGCAACCAAAAAATTTTTTATATAAAGAAAAATTAAATGTATGTAAAAATGTTTTATTCAAAGAATACTTTTTTTAGAAAGGAATTTCATTATAAATGTTTAAATCAAAGTATGTAAATTTTGAAACGCATCATAATGTGGGTTTATGCCGGGTTACCAATTACCAAATTTGTAAAAAGTTTAACAAAAATTTCTTTTTGACGTAACAAACCAATGTTTAATTTTATTAATGATTTTTAAATGATATATTATATAATAAACATAATTACCTAATAAATTGTCATGTGAATTATGTTATGCCGATTAAAGATAATAAACATTATATACTGAAAAGTTTATAGTTATAATAGGAACATAAAATAGTAAGTTGAAACTTCATTTAATGTGGAGAAAACTGACTAAACCTTATAGAGAAATAGTACAGTTGAACCTTGCGACGATAAATGAATAAATACAATCCTATATTATTAATGCATTTGATTTACGGAAAATTATAGGGAGATTGAGGTAAAGATAAGGTAAAATAGTATATATTAATTATCAAATACAATAAATAATGATATACATCAGATATACACAATCCCATTTTTTGGTTTCACATATATAAACTTAATTCCCAATGTTAATATTGAAAAAAAAAATTTTATTGGTTAATAATAATGTTTGGCTGAGGGCCCCTTTTTATAGAGATCTCACATTTTATTTATATAAAATTATAATTTATATGTATAAAAAAAAAAGAAGGTAATTAAAATAAGGGTTATTCCTTATTCCACAACATTAATAAAATTAACTAGATATCAAGTTATTACCTATAAAACTGCGCTATTCTTAGTATAGTAATCCGATAACTAGCTCTACATAGTTATACGATTTTCAAATAAACGCGAAATCAATTTCTTCATTTCAATTTTCTTCGTTTTTATAACTTTCCTTATTTAGAGATTGGCACTTAATGTTGTTTGTTTGTTTGTTTTTTCTTTTCTTTCTTTTCTATATTTTTCTTTGAACACATTTTTTTTATTTTTGATAAACGCATTTTTTTCAAGGGTTATCTCATGATCAAATAAAAATAAAAAAAATTTTTTTTTTTTTTTTT